TGTGACAGCATCGACGACAATGACTGGCTCGAAGCCAGCGATCGTCGTACTCGGCGGCTCTTTCAGCCCGGTGCATGCCGGCCACCTCGCAGCCCTCGAGCGAGGTCGGCAACTGGTGCAGCGTGACGGCTTCTGCGTGGTCGCTGGTTTTTTTGCTGTCGCGCACGATGGACACGTGCGCAGCAAGTTCCGCCAGCGTGGGGAATCCAGCGAGCTCGCATTTGATGCGGCATGGCGGCTTCGCATGTGCAATGCCATTGCGGAGTCGGTTGAATGGCTCCAGCCAACGCCAAGAACATTCGGCTCTGCGAAAGAGTGCGGAGCGGCAATGGCGGAAGAGTTCGGGCCAAACATCACCATCATCACCGTAAAAGGCAGCGACGCGCCGCTGCTGACCTTTCGCGGCGAGCCCCTCTCGTCGACGCTTGTTCGGCGCAAGATGCGAATGGGTGGCGTGCCTGCTCTTCGTCGGCTGGTCGCAGACAGGGTGCTGCCGGCGCCGGTGCTGGAGGTATTGGCAGAGCTGTTGGAAGCCAGCAATGAAGACGAAGGTTGTGGTGAAGGTGAGGGCGAGGACGATGAAGAGTGCGAGGACGAGGACGAGGACGAGGACGAGGACGAGGAAGAGGGCGAGGGCGAGGGCGAGGGCGAGGGCGAGGGCGAGGGCGAGGGCGAGGGCGAGGACGAGGGAGCGGACGAGCAGACTGCGCGCCTCACGAAGGGCGAACGTGCCGCCATTGGGACGTCGACGGCCGACATCTGCAGCGAGGGCGTCTACACCACCGAGCGCGGCACTGTCGTCGACGTCACTGAGCGCATGCAAGCCTGCGTTGATGGCACGACGATGAAGCTGCCGGCTCGTGCCGCAGCTATTAGCGCGGCGACCGAAATCGAGGTTGTCAACGAGGGCACGCTCGGGGCCGCTCGTCGATTGCATCGTATGGGCCACAGTGTCGTCGCGCTCAACTTTGCCTCTGCGCGAAACCCCGGCGGCGGCTTCATGTCTGGCGCCGAGGCGCAGGAGGAGAACCTCGCCCGTAACTCGCTGCTCTACGCGGCGCTAACATCAGAGGCCGCGAGGCCGTTTTACCACGCGCACAATAATGGGGAGCGCAACGGCGGACTCTACTCGCACGCAGTCATCTACTCGCCAGCGGTGCCCATCATCCGCACTGAATACGCCGGCCGGCTGCTGGAGTCACCATGGCCACTCAGCTTTATCACTGCCGCCGCACCCAATGCTGGCGCTGCGCGCAAGAGGCGTGTGCGCCAGCAGGACATCTCGGCCGCCCTCGCTGAGCGGGCCGAGCGTGTGCTCCGTGTCGCTGCTGGCAACGGCCACAGCGCCCTCGTCCTCGGTGCGTGGGGCTGCGGGGTGTTCCAGAACGACCCTCGCATGGTTGCGGGCGTCTTTTGCGCGCTGCTCCGCGGCAAGTACCACGGCGCCTTCGAGCGAGTCACGTTTGGCGTGATCGGACCCGTCACCAATCGGTCGCCGTTCGAGGAGTACTTTGGCGCGGGCACGCACGCGCTGTTGGCACCGCCCGGTGTGCCGCGGGCAGTGATGATGGGCCGCACCCGTCGCAGCGAAGCCAGAAAAGGGCGGCGCACAAGCCAGCGTCATTTTCACGCCGACCACCTTGCCTGACTCGCTGCCTTGGCGTGGTGCGCCGCATGAAGGGGACAACAGTACTGACGTATACTAGAGTCGGTCCTGGTAGAATATCAACCAAGACCATACTCGCTCTCGACAGGCACAACAACACACAGAGCGGTGCCACTGCCAGAGACAGTTTTGCGGCTGGGGGGGAGGGCGTCTCGCGTGCTCGGGTGCGGGAACACAGCGGCCCACACATACACTCGCAACCATAGCAGGATCTCCGCATGGCATATCGCTGATTATCTCACAGCCGAAAGCGGCGCTTTGGAGAGCCGCCACAGCGCACAGAGGTGGGGGCTGGTCTATCCTGCTCCTGGTGCGGGTGGTGGCGGCGGCGGGACGCGTCATGCCCCCATGCGAACACACGAAGGCGTCACCGTGCAGACTGCACCGCCGGCGGTGCGCGCTGCGCTCGATCTCGCCGCATGCGAGGGGCCTTGGCGCCTGCGCCGCACTCCAACACATCTGCGCCCGCTCGGCGCTCGCGCCGCGCCCGGGCCCCGGCGTGGACCACACTCGGGAGACTCGGCGCGCGCCTCTCCCCCCGCCCGCGCAGCTCCGGCTGACTGCCTGACTCCGACTCGGCGCGAGGGCCGGCTCTAGCAGAGGCTGTGAGATAGAGTAAAATGACCCCAAGCGAGCGCTCACGTCACACCACCATCTCCGTTCTACGACGTCCGCGACCCCTCACACACGCACGATGGCTTAGCTCTCACGGCCTCACACCACACACACGGCCACAAGGCGGAGAGTACAGACCCCCGGTCTCCCGACCGTGCTACGAAATGGTTTGCCCACTCGGCGCATGGACGCGTCATGCCCCCATGCGAACTCACGAAGGCGTCACCGTGCAGGCTGCACCGCCGGCGGTGCGCGCTGCGTTCGATCTCGCCGCATGCGAGGGGCCTGCGCCGCACCAACACATCTTCCCTCGCCGCCCGGCGTGCCACACTCGGCGCCTCCCCCCGCAGCCGACTCGGCGCGAGGGCCGGCTCTCCCCTCCCTCGCCCAGCCCCCCCCCCCACACCTCCCCTCTCCTGCTCACTCGGGCGCAGCAAAGGTGCAGGCGTGTTGCCTGTCAAAGGCCGGCAGCGGCAGCGCCTCGCCGAGGTCGACGCCCAGCTTGCGGTAGATTGGCGCCGTCTCCGCGTCGTCTAGCCCCTCGCCGTCGTTCAGCTCCAGCAGCGCCATCAGCGACTCCGCGTCCATGCCCGGGTTGGCGGCCCGCCAGCGTGGCCCCTCCTCCTCCATCGCGGTCACCGGCAGCGCCGCCGTCATGGGACTCCGCCCCAGCGCCGCCTTGGCCGCCGCTCCGCCGAGCGGCGCGCCCGCCGTCCACTCGTGCGCCGCGATCGCGCCGAGAGGGATGCGCCGCTTCGGGTTGCAGGCAAGCATCGAGTCGATCAGGTTGATCGCGCCGGGCGAGAGCTGGCACTTGCGCTTGTACCAGCCGTGGATGGTCACCGTCGACGACACGCCCTTCTCCTGCGTCTTTTGGAGCAGCCCGAAGCGCCAGTCCTTCGCGTTTGCCTCCGAGAGCGGGAAGAAGCCCGCGAGCATCGAAAAGAGGCAGACGCCGAGCGACCAGACGTCGGCGATGAAGCCGTCGTACCTGCGTGCTGAATACGCCAACCTCAGGGCGCGAATACGGTATTGTGCAGCGTCAGAGCACCGCGTGAGTACAACGGATAGGAACACAGTGAATACAGCGGAATACGGATGAGTACAGTACAGCGGAATACGTGTCCTCTCGGGCGCTGGTTGGAGTACAAGAGCCCGCTTCTAGGCCGTCATACCCCACGCCGCTGAGCACCTCTGGCGCAACGTACGACTTTGAGCCGACCAGCCGCCGGAGGGGCTGGGAGCGGTCCCACTGGCCGTTGGCGTCCTTGCCGTAGGTGTGCGAGAGCCCAAAGTCGATCAGCTTGATCGTGCCCTCCGACGAGAGCAGCACGTTCTCGAGCTGGGCGGCAGGCGGCAGGCGGAAGGTGCGGTGGGGGTGGGGGTGGGGGTGGGGGTGGGGGTGGGGGTGGGGGTGGGGGTGGGGGTGGGGGTGGGAGGGTGGGGTGGGGGTGAGGGTGGGGAATTGAGGGTGGGGTGGGGGTGAGGGTGGGGGTGCGGGTGGGGGTGAGGGCGAGGGAAGGGTGGGGGTGGGGTATGGTGCGCGCGCTCGGTGCGTGAGTGCGCGTGTGCGGAATGCGAGTTGCGGTGGTGGGAGTAGTTATGGTCAGAGATGGTCGGCGGTGCAGGCGGTTGCAGCAGGGCCGCTCGAGGTGACTTCAGCGGGCTGGGCGGAGAGAAGGGAGAAGGGCTCGACCGCAGGGGAAGGAATGTGGGCGGAGGGCAGGGGAGTTGGCCGTGGCGGTGGCTGCTCGTACTCTCTCTCCCCCTTGGCGGGGACGTGCACTCGCTCCCCACAAGTTGGCCGTGGCGGTGCCGCGTACTCCCTCGCTCTCCCATGTGCGCGTCGTGGACCCTGCGGCCTGTCTGGTCTCTGCGGGCTCTGCGGCCTGTCTGGTCTCTGCGGGCTCTGCGGCCTGTCTGGTCTCTCTGGGCTCTGCGGCCTGTCTGGTCTCTCTGGGCTCTGCGGCCTGTCTGGTCTCTCTGGGCTCTGCGGCCTGTCTGGTCTCTGCGGGCTCTGCGGCCTGTCTGGTCTCTCTCGGCTCTGCGGCCTGTCTGGTCTCTAGAGCCTGTCTGGTCTCTCTCGGCTCTGCGTGCCTTCATGTCTCGGTGCACGATGCCGCGCGAGTGGCAGTGCATGAGACCGCTGAGGACGCCGATGAAGAAGCCGCGCGCCTCCTCCTCCGTCATCGCCTTCGCGCCGCGGTCGATCACCACGTCGAAGAGCTCGCCGCCGCTCGCCGCCTCCATAAAGATAAAGTACTGCCCCTCCTGCTTCGCGCTCCGGCGCCCGCGGCCGTGGCCGAGGAGCTTAATCACGTTGGGGTGACCACCATCTTTCCCGAGGTTATCCAGAACCCTGCACTCGTCCTGCAGGCTCTCCAACTTCATTTTGCTCAGGTTCACCACCTTTGCAGCGCAGTTGCGCGCCGCACCCGTCGCTGCATTGTCGATAGCGGCGTAGGTGGCGCCGTAGCCTCCTTCGCCAAACTTGCGGCTCGTGTCGATCTGGAACCGCGAGAAGAGCGCCTCCGCGGCCTTGTCGGCGGCCGGCCACCCCTCGGCGGGAGGTGGCAGGTTCATGTGTCGGCAAACACGAGCGCGCACAGTGCTGCGAGCAAAGGTGGGCGGCGTTGCAGCGCTTTTTTTTGAGCTAGACTTCGTTGTTTACAAGCGAAGGCACACACAACATGACGCCAAGCACACGATTGCACGCACCGCACCGCACCCAGCACCCCGCTCCCGCCGCCCCCCCGACCCCCGCCCCGCCTAGGTGGGAAAGAGACGAGGAGATGGAACAGCCCGAAGGAGGAGGAGCAAACACGTATGTATGGGAGGGTTCAATGATGCGCCACGCTGCCCGGCGTTTCTCACTTTCCGGGACAGCCCCGCCCTTTTGAGGCAGGAAAGTGACGGCTACCCCGTACGCCCTGCCGCCTGCTACCCCTTCGCCGACCGCCCATCCCCCCTCCCCTTCTCCAACCCCAATAAGGGAACGGATGTGCGAACCTTTGCCAGGGGGTCCAAGAACACCTCCCCCCCCCCCCCCCCCCCCACCACCACCACCACACACACACACACACACACCCAGCTCAAAAGAAAAAGAAAAAATGCAATGAGGAGACCAGCGGGGGAGACTCCCCGCCTATGCAAGCCCCAGAGAGGGGCCGCCATCGCCGAAGCTGTGCCTAAGCATAACTCCCAAACCCGCAGCGGCCCAGGGGGCCTTGGGGGCAGCCTGCCGGACCGCCGCTGCACGGGGCTAGGCTCCAGAAGATGAGTGGAATTGATGAATTGGGCCGTTGTCCGTGCCTCCCCTCTATACGTCAGAGTGGGACCTACGCCGCGCGCCGGGTAAGGGGCGCGCCCGGTCCTCGACGGAGCCGCGCGCCCCAAACGACCCAGGCGGCGAGTAGTCGTCCTCGAACCTTCGACATGTAGTTGCCCATAGTTAGCGCCCGCCCGCCCCCTCCTCCGTCGCTTCGCAAAAGAAAAACAAAATAAAAACAAGCAAAGGAGAAAGCGAAGCCAAAAAACGATTGCGTAAACGGCGTCACAAAGCCCGCCGGTTTTGATCGACAATCGTGAGATTGACCGCCGTCGACCAGAGAATTGACGGCAGCATGCAAACGATGTGCCAGCCTGCACGGCGCTCGCGCCGCGCCGGCTGGCTCATCGAGCGCGCGCGGCGCCGCACGTGCCGCGCGCCACTCGCCGCGGCTGGCAGTACAGCGCCAGAGCCGCCTCGCAAACACCGCGCACACCACCAGCAGGCTGCCCACCAGGCAGCAGAGTGCTGCACCGGCGTGCAGCGGACGCTGCGGCGCTGCGGCGTCGCCTCCCCGCCCTGTCCACGGAGCAGACGAGCGGCGGCACGGCCTTCCACCAGCTGCAGGAGGTGCGCACTTCCCAAAGGAAGCACAGGATGCTCCCGCAGCACACGCAGCTTTGCGCAGCGCAGCGCACGGGCCACGCCACACAAAGCCGACCCTCAGTCTCTGCCCGAGAGGCTGTCTGAGGAAGGCCTGGCAAGCGCGTACTCGCCTCCTCCGCGGCCATGCCCTCCGCGCGGGGGCGACACCACCAGGGATGGAATCACGTGCGCCCCCATATTTTGCCAGTCTTTTTTTGCTTTTTTTTCGAGCTAGCCTTCGATGTTAGGAAACAAAGCAAGGCGGACATGGCATATCGCTCTCGGGCCCACAGACATCCCGCACACCCACACCGCCCCCGCGCGCGCCCCAGCTTCAACGGCGGGCGTCTAGGAGTGTGTCGTCAACTGGCCGGTGGTCTTTCAGTGTGGTGGGGTGGGTTTCGTGACCGTTCAGCGTCGATGCCGCCTTACTTACCTGTTCCCCGCTGGCGCGACCCCGCGCCGGCCAGCGGAGCAATTGCCCGCTCGGTCACCACCCCCGCCGGCGCGACGCGATCCGATCGGCGCCGCCACCGACGGGGCCGCCGGCGCGGAGTAGATTCTCCGTCGTTGCCGGTCGGGGTGTTGGTCGGGACATGGGCGACGCGACCACTGCACTGCTCCAATGGCCAGAGACCCGGTGCGGGGCAGGTGGCCGCGCCGCCCCGCCCCTGCGTCGCCCGCCGCCGCGCCGCGCCGCCGCGCCGCGCCGCCGCCTCGCGCCGCCCGTCGCCGCGCCGCGCCGCCGCCCGACAATTATTAATTCATTATTAATGAATTAATAAACAATTATACCACCCGCCGCCGCGCCGCCCCGCACTGCGTCGCCCGCTGCCTCGCCGCGCCGCCGCCTCGCGCCGCTCGCCGCCGCGCCGCGCCCCCGCCCGATGATTAATAATTAATAATTATTACCCGATTATTAATAGTGTGTGTGTTTGTGTGTGTGTGTGTGTGTGTTTGCCTGATGGCCGGGAAGTCCAAGGCAGCTGCGAGCGGCAGGTGGCGTCGGCGACGTACTCAGGACACGATGGCGAAGCCCACAGCGCAGGAGCTCGGCAGCAGCGCCGACAGCGGCCCCGCACCGCGTCGGCTGCGGTCTGAGCGAGACAGCCTGTACTCCTCAACCTCCTTGGCACTCCCCCGACGAGCGGCGCGCTATGCGGGCCCGCCGCGGGCGACGCGGGCGGCGAGCCGACGTGCGTGCCGCAGTCATAGGCAGCGCTGGCGAAGCGAGGAGGTCGCCGCAGGCCCCCGGATGCGGTCGCAGCGAGAGAAGCGAGACAGCAGATGCTGTCGGAAGGGTGAGGAGCAGCCTGCCGTCGAGCGGCGCGCCGCACAAGCCCGCCGTCGGCGGCCCGGTTCGAGAGCAGGTAGTCGTGGTAGTATTGAGCGCGCAATCGCGCCCGAGCCGGCCCGCCCTGGCCCTGTAGACCCTCCCAGAAAATTGGCGATGCTGTACAGCATGCCCAGAGCATACCGGACAGGCTCCCGTCGAGCGACGAGCTATGCTGGCTCGCCGCCGGCGGCGAGCTCGAAGACCCGCGCCGAGCCTCGCCGAGCCTGGCGGGCCCACCCACACGCCCGCGGCCGCAGGCAAGCAAGGCGAGCTTGCTGGCGTCTTTGCCAAGCGCCAGCATGCCAAAAGACACCTCGCAGCGCGCGAGACGTGCCGAGACCGATACGCCCCGGCGCCGCGCGAGCGTCCGGTGGCTCCCGCACCTAGCGCGCGGCCGCCGCGCGCATTCGCGGCGGCAGCGGCCGGGGGCGGAGCGCGCGATAGACATTGTTATGGCGCGGATTTAGAGAGGCATTACCGGGGAGGACTCGGTGTTCACAGCGCTTGCACATCAGCAGCCTCGGAGATGGACGCTGCGGAGCTGTTGGACGCCGACCTACACTCGGAGTGGGCGGCTGAGCTCGGCGTGGGCGTGTGAATCGTGCGCGGCTTGAAAATTCTCTTTTTGCACAGCTGTCACGGCACTTCCCTTTGTGGCAAGGTGTTGTGGCCAAGCATGCTTGCCGCCCCCGCACTCGTCGCTTGGGTCAGCAGCACCGGCGAGGAGGGAGCTGGAGGCGGTCTCTCCGCGGGCCCGGGCGCCTTCGCCTTTAGGGCTGCAGGCCTCGGCCCGCTGCCAGGAGAGGACTGCTTCTGGTGGTGTGGCGCTCGAGACGGGCCCTGTCACGGCTTCTGCGGCGCCGGCCGCGCCTGCTGCGCGGCCAGCGACGCGCCGGCTGACAGTTGCCCAGCCGAGGTGCCGTGCGAGGGCATGCACTGCTGCGTGGCCGAGTTGTCGGAACCGCCGCCTCCGCCTCTGCCGCCGCCCTCGCCGGCGCCGCCCTCGCCGCCTTCGCCGGCGCCGCCACCGCCCACCGACTGCCTGTACTGGTGCGGCGGCCGCGACGGCCCTTGCCCGGGCTTTTGTGGCGAGGGTGGCGCGTGCTGCAAGACGACCTACACGTTCTGGGGCGGGCTCGGACAGGCGGCGGCCGGATGTCCGATAGAGTCGTGCGACGGCCAGCACTGCTGCACTCCTCGCGCCCCAGAGCCGCCCGCACCGTCGCCGCTACCGTCGCCCCCACAGCCCCTCCCTCCGCCGCCGCCGCCGCCGCCGCCGCCGCCGCCACCCTCCCCGCCGATGCCGCCGCCACCGTCGCAGCCACCGTCAACGCCACCGCCCGGGCCGCCGCCGCTACCCCCGCCGCCGCCACCGCCGCCGCCGCCACCACCTCCGCCGCCGCCACCCTCCCCGCCTATGCCGCCGCCACCGTCGCACCCTCCTTCCGCGCCACCGCCTGGCCCGCCGCCGCTACCGCCGCCGCCGCCGCCGCCGCCACCGCCACCGCCGCCGCCCCTGCCGCCTCTGCCACCCATGCCAGCGTCACCGTCGCAACCCCCTTCCGCGCCACCGCCTGGCCCGCCGCCGCTTCCGCCGCCGCCGCCGCCGCCGCCGCCGCCGCCGCCGCCGCCACAAACGCTGACCCAAGCCAACGAGGCGCCGGAGGCGACCGACCAAGAGAACGGGAGGAAAGCGCTTGGCTACCCCGTCTACCACACCGCAAGAAGCTGGATTTACTTCTACTAGGAGGCCGCCCCAACGATGCTTGGTGTCGACGAAACCCCCACGAGGACGCTACGTCAAATGTACTGATT